CAGGGGGGTTAAACACTGGAATAAATTGCCTAGGGAGGTTGTGGAATCTCCATCTCTGGAGATATTTAAGAGTAGGTTAGATAAATGTCTATCAGGGATGGTCTAGACAGTATTTGGTCCTGCCATGCGGGCAGGGGACTGGACTCGATGACCTCTCGAGGTCCCTTCCAGTCCTAGAATCTATGAATCATCCAGCATTAGGGTGTTGGCCTAGGATTTACTGCCACAGATTTCCTAGGTCACCTTGAGCAAGACATTTAATCTCTCTGTCCCTCAGTTAAATGGGGATTATAGCACTTCCCTACCTTACAAGTAGGGGGTGTGAGGATAAACATATTAAAGATTGTGAGACGCTCAGACACTATGGTAATGGGGGGCATATAAGTACCTCAGAGAGACAGACACAGCTAAACTGATTCACCAGCCTGGCCCCTCACAGAAGAGGAGATGCAGTAACCAAGAACACAACTGCAGCCCACAGCTGCTATTGTAGCCTCAGGAGCAACTCCACTGCATGTTTGGGAGGATTCCATCTGCTAAGTGTCAGGGAGAGGTTTTGTCTCTTACAAAGCTATTCTTGCTCTTAAGTCTTTCTTCTCAGCCATCCCTTTGGTATACATGAGTCTCTCCAAAATAGTAGTACTTTGCACATCTACAGCATTTGCCATCTGAGGCTGTCAAAGAGCTTTTCAAATATTAACAAATCAAACCTCAGAGCAATCCACTGAGGCAGGTATCCTCATTTTACAGATGAGGAAACTGAAAAGCAGAGACTTTGGCTAAGATCATCTAAATGTCTGTGACATAGCTGGGAACAGAATCCACATCTCCTGATTTTCACACACAGCCTTATGCACAAGAGCATTTTGCCTCCCACAAGGATGCATTTGTATATCTGCTAGCCTGTCCTGAGCTGGATTCAGAAGAGAAGCAAAAAAGGTCAAAAGATAAAGAGGGTCTATGAGTTTTTTGGACAAGATGAAATGTGGAAAAAGAAAAAGTACCTTAAATAGCCACAGTAATCCTTTGTAAAAAGATGTGTGTTTCCTTCCAGATTTCCATGAGTCCCCTTTGGGGAGTCTATACTGTTTATTGTTTATTAAATTACTACTTGCTAAGCGTCCTCCACACAGTCAACACCTCAGTTAATCCTCCACTGTTAAGGACAGCATTAAATGCAATCTGTATATTTTTCTACTTCATCTTATAGTTGCTAGATTGTTTTTACCGGTTTTATTTTGTTATTTAGGCCTGGAGGTTAGGCTCAGTTGAGTTATCTGTGGGATGGGCTGGACAGGGACAAAGATGTGTTCTCACGTTCTTAAGTTGTGATCAGGGCTAGTCCTAGGCCCACGTTGGGATTGGAGAGGGACCAGATGAGGGATGGGGCCATGGTGGGCCCAGGTTCAAATTAGGGCTGGCGATGGCCCATGGGCCAGCTAGCATTAGGTCTCGGAGCCAGCTAGATGGCCTAAATGAAAACAGAGATTGAGGTCATCTGGGGGGCCACGCTGGGGATGGCTCAGTGGACATGTTAAGGCTAAATTTGAGTGTGACCTGATAAGCCCTAGCTAACATTAGGTTTGGTGCCAGCACCAGGGCTAGGCTCAGAGTGAAGACTGGCTAGTAGCTCCAGGCTGGGTGCAGCCTGCTACATTGAAGTCAGGGTTACGTAAAACCCAGTGGGCCTTGGCTAGGGTTAAGGTTGATGCAGGCAAGTGGGAACAAGATTGGATTGGGGTGGGCCAATGGTCCCAAAGTAGGGTCCAGGCTTAGTACCTATTGGTGGGCCCATGTTAGGTTAAAGTAGGGGGTAATTTGTGGATCTAGACTAGAGTTTTGTTTATTACCAGTTTGTGGAGCTGGGTTGGGGTTAAACACACTAAATATTTCAGAGCCTTTTGGATTTTTAAGTCTGTTACTGCTGTTGTGAAAATGGAATTTCCTGTATTTTGTCTTTGAAATATACCAGATTCCTGAATGCTTTGCTGCCATGGAAACAGATGGTGAAAGGCCTAAAATAAAACAGGCAACTCTAAAGCAACTATTGTTGCACAAACTCCATTCTCCTCCTCACTATGAAAAGCAGGTTTTGTGTGAACAATACTGAACTTAAAACAACCTACCTTGTTTCCATCACTTCAATATTAATTTAATACTTAGCTCTCTCTGGTGTGTTACATATTCAAAGTTCTGTACAAACATTAATTAAACTAATTAAACTAAAATGAAATTTAATTATATTAGACTGATTTCTATGAAACCCATAGCTACCTCCAAAACTAGCAGAAACCTTGTCAATGTTATATATTACCTCAAATTACTATTTTGACTATTGTAAATCTTATGGGGATGTTTATTTTTTTAAAAGAAAAAAATATCAAGTCTGATCCTTAGCTGATGTAAATCAGTGCAGCTCCAGAGAAGACAACAAAGCTATGCCAGTTTATGCTACCTGAGTATCTGATCTATTTTGTTGACTTCCAACCTTGAGACAGAGTGCAAGAAATGCTAATTTCCCCAACTATAGTATGACGTTGCACTCCATATGTTTTATAGAAATATGCTTACGAGTGTAAATATAATGTAACTGGAATATGCTTTATGCAAAAGGTATCTTGTAAGGTATCATTACAAAGCTTATAATCTACTGAGTGTGTTCATCCTAGTTGTATGAATGTATCATTCGTGTATCTGAAGCTAGAAATATGAAGTATTACTCTGAAGTCCTATTGTAACTATGCAAAGTGTGGGCCATTAATGGTGGCTTGGAATCTTGATGGCTCCCATTAACCAGGAAAATTGGTTGTAAATGGCTCTGTTTACTTGTAAGCCTTCCTGCATACGTGAGTAATGAAGCCTTCCAGCCAGTGAGTAATGAAGTCTCACAGGACATGTGAACATGTCACATGATACTGAAATCCATCTTAAACCTGGTGCTTTTCCATTTAGAAGGAAAGGTGGGAACCCAGAGAGAGACAAAGAATTCCTGCCTGTGGCAAAGATATAAAAGGAGGTGGAATATAACAAAGGGGACTGTAGTCATGAGAAAACCTCTAGTTACCACCTGAGCTGTAACTAACAAGAACTGTACCAGGGGAAAGGATTGGGCCCAGACTAAGAAGAAGTCTAGTCTGTGAAAGAACCTTACTGGAACATCTCTGAGGGTGAGATTTACCTGTATTCAGTTTCTTAAATGTATTATGCTTAGACTTGCGTGTTTTGTTTTATTTTGCTTGGTAATTTACTTTGTTCTGGCTGTTATTACTTGAAACCACTTAAATCCTATTTTTATACTTAATAAAATCACTTTTGTTTATTAATTAACCCTGAGTAA